CTTCCTTATTAGCTGTTGATGTAAGTCCTAAACTTCAATTGACTGAGAATATCTATAGAAGAATCTCTCTTGGAGCAAGCGAATTAATTAACAATAAGCCTAGTGTGCAGCAAGAATGAAATATAGATAGACTACTACTATGGGATATTAACCGGCAGATTGTCAAATTGTTTTATTCAATTTTAATATAAGATCTAACCGTGGTTCCCTACAACACCACTACTCTGATAAGAACCTCAATATTCGAACAACGGGGTCTTTCTTTATCCGCGCTAACTTTTAAAATTCCTGTCATTTACAGTCACCTGACAAAAGTCTACGTAATTCCGCGTCGCGCGACGCGCCACCTGATATTGTCCATCATCTTTTCAACCACCTACACCATGCCTCGCACCCCTTTACGATCTACTAGTTCTAATAGGACTAATAGAAAGGAATTAGAACCTTTCCAACGGGGAATTATAGTTGGCCGATTCCTTGCAGGCCAGAAAAAGGCTGATATTCAGCGCGAAATGAATTTACCGTATACAACAATTCAAACCACCATTCAAACATACCAGTCCTCCACCACTGGCGCTAGTTCTCCTCGCATTGGACGGCCGGAGATCCTTTCTGATGCTGATAAGCGATATATTCTTTTACAAATCAAGCGGGATCCCTTCATCAAAACTGAAGATATCTGCAAATTACTTGGGAAGCCCATCTCTACACGCACCATTGCACGCATGTTAAAAGAATCTGGGTATGGGCACTGGAGAGCACAAAAAAGACCTCAATTAACTGAGGAAACAGCTAAACTACGCTATGAATGGGCATACGTGCGCAAGGATTGGACGTATGAGCAGTGGAGCAAGATTATATGGAGTGATGAATGTTCTGTTGAGCTTGGCAAAGGAAAGCAGAATCAATGGGTATGGCGGCTCAACCACTTCAATGAAAAATGGAAAAAGAAGCATATAGTCCCATACACCAAAGGCAAAGGAATATCTATCATGATTTGGGCAGCAATCTGGGGTGGTGGTCACACTGAAATCTATCGAATGAATCGGGATGAGGAATCTGCTCGAAGAGGGTATTCTTCACAGTCCTATTTGAAACTTATTGAAGATTATCTACCTGCTATATGGGAGTCCGGTATGGAATTCATGCAAGATAATGCTCCCATACATACAGCCCATATTATCAAAAATTGGTTTGATGAGCATGGTATTCCTCTTGTTGACTGGCCACCGTATTCACCCGATTTGAACCCTATTGAACATGCCTGGGCCAAGTTGAAAGAGCGTATATATATGCTCTATCCAGACCTTGAATTATTTAATGGGACCAAAGAACAATTGAAAGAGCAATTTTACAAGGCCATGGAGAATGCATGGGAGAGTTTAGGACAGGACTTTTTTGATGGGTTGGTAATGTCTATGGAGAACTGTGTTAATGCAGTTTTAGAGGCAAAGGGGTGGTATACACATTATTAATACGATTTTTAGTTTATTTTATCATTTATATGCTACTTACCCATAGCATATTTGATTATCTAGTAAAAGAATTGATGTTTGGTGGATTTATGTGGAAAAGAAATGTCTTGGTGATTATATATTTTTTCGTGGCTGCGGAAAATTACGTAGACTTTTGTCCAAGAACTATATATCTTTGATATAAAGTTCTATCTGGTCTTCTTACCAGATAAAATGTAATACGCTATTGAAAATCATTTATCTGGATAAGTAATTAAGCCTTTTAAAACCAATTATCATTAGATATTATCAGATACCCGGAGAAATCAGTACTACTTATATTACTTATAAGAGTGATTAAAGACATGAAAAGAAGGGATTTGGTAAATTGAGGTCACCTATTAATAAATAGTAAGTCAACATAGTTTAGGGACAGGCTCTACCTAAGGAGATGATTATGTGACGACTCAATGCCAAATGTTGATATAAATAATATAACCGCAGTAAGTAAAGTCAAATGAAGCATCAACATCTTTAACACCCCTTCAATTCAGTAAATAAGTTTCCTCTTTCTCCTTTTTTTTCCCACCCCCTCAGATCTTAATCATCTGATATCTGATATTCTCATTGATAGTTACGCTAGTTAAGATGAGAATATCATTTCAATATCTACTAGTTAAAGCTCATGACACTTGATTTCTTCGCCAACTCAATAAACTTCCTGATATCTATAATCAATATAGGCACTTCTAATAATCTCTTATTTCTGATTAATCAATTGGATAGAAATGTCTAGTATCTATAAATTATATTAATATAAAATACTTATTCCAAAAAGAAGGCCTTCTCTAGACTGATTTTGTAAAGAAAATTTTTGAAATGTCTATTTCATGACTGGAAAAGTAGTAAGAATAAAAGGCTATAATAGGTAAGTTGATAATATAATTATTCAAATTATTTTCTGCCATTTGTTAGTAACAGACGAAAATTCTTAAGCTGATGTGGTTTATCACCGAGAGGCACGGTTGGCGGCAGCGTATACTAATTACCCCATACATCTACATTAGTATTCTCCCCATGTTATTATATACAACATGCCAAGCTTATTAAACCTATTACTACCTAAGAGTGCATTTTCAACTATTATGGCCGTCTTGGTTGCAATTTCTGCATCGTACAGGCCGCCGTGATATTGATTATGGCTCTTCTTGCACATCTCTTTCTCTCAATCTTTGCAGTCTCTCATCACCAGTTAAGCTCCCTCCATCTTGAACAAATGCTCGTATCATCTTCTCTTTTCTGATGATTATTTGAGGTGCGAAGCCGATTGAATTCTGGTTTCAATAGGACAGCATCCTGCATTGTAACTTCTGCTTTTCATGAACTTTTCAAGCACCTGGTCCGTGATTACTGAAAATAGAGGTTGATTTTGAAGGACTTGAATCTGCTTTTTCTGTTTATTCAATTTATAGAGATTGCCCGGTGTCCTTCCTAAATAGAAGGATTGGTTGTTGGATAAGGAAGGTGGAGTTGGTGTCTTCAGCTTAATATAGAGTTTTTGCAAGAACCCTCTCCGGTTTGAAATAAAACCAGCAGCCGCAAATCCACTCAGTATGTTGGCCTTTGAGGATGCATGAGCATGGATTTTGATGTATTTAGACAGAAAACTCAATTTATCAATGACATAGATGCCATTTTGCGCTATCTCCCTGAGCCTTTGGCCGTAGTAGGTGCTTGAGCGGCCAAAAGCAACTTATATCAAGTGGTTGTAGATGGGATGAATGAGGCATAATATATAATGGAATAATCTTCCTCTCAGTGCAGGAATGATCAAAACTTGCAGTTGCATGGTTGCTATGGCCATCAAGGATCAAAAGGCGATATCTGCCAGCGGCCTGAGAGGCAGTATGCTTCTCAAAGATCTAAAACTATTTAAATCCCAACTTATCATTTTTCCAGTCATTATCACTCATGCTGATTCTATATTCGTTTGGAATAACTGAATACCACCGAGATTGATGCTTCTTCCCGGCCGGGATAATCTGCAGGGTAGAGCGGATCCAGAAGCATTTATAGTGATTATTATAGTAAATTTAAGCTGCGGCAAACTCATGGCTAGCCGTGGTTAGTCAAAGCCAAAGCCTTAGTCTGCAGGTTTGGTTAGCAAAGGGCTAACCGCATAAGACTGCCAGGGAGTGTATGAATTATGCATCTTTGGTTGTATTTTTGAAGTTTCTAGTGTTTATGTAATTATTTGCACATCTCTTTTATCTTAAAAGGTTAGAACCTTAGGTTTGCTTTTTGTCTGTATCTTTATATTACAGCTTGTCTATCTCAAATACTGCTGGCATTCTTGGTTTTTTTGGATCCGCACTGACCGCGCCTGCTTACCCTCATATATGAAATATATATTTCTGCTATAACATCACAATATAGACATCGCCAAGACCCAATTTTGGGATGAAGATTCCGACCCCAGCCCAAATCTGCATAAAGCTGATTATTCATACTAATAAAATACGCTTGTTCAACGCTGTAACGCAGTTTCTACTTTTTGTTCGAACTTCGAAGTGTTATCAGGTGCAATTTTGAATCAGAAGATTGACGAAAGTGTAAAAAACGTCTATTTATTAATTAAACAAGGTAATAATAGCTTCTCTTTTGTACTACTAGTATTGATCGCCTTTGTATGTTATGACTGTGGGCGTGTTATTGTTTGCATGTACTGTCTTGAAACTTTGAGTATATAATAAAGTAGTACATTTGTTTTTCATTGAGCCTGAGCTGCCTTCATCAGTGGAAAGCCCAGAAGCATGAAAGATGCGAGGATGATGAGTTTGGCCATTATAAGTTGAATGTAGATCGAGAATGTGAAATTCCTTTAATCATCGATCTTGCGGATAGCTCGAAGATTTCAGGATAGACATAATATATGAAGTGAAATACGTAACAATACGGACTAAGAATGCATAAATTATGCAGTCAAGACTTTAGTTGATATGATGAGGCATCGTATACTACAGAAATCAACTATCTCTACTTTAATTAATGAATAAAATCAAGATAAATTTCTTGCTTATTTACAATAAACTAAAAGTGTAAACGGTGTCTTGTCTTTTTAAAAGAAAAAAATAAAATAAAGATACTAAAAACAGAGCTTTTTATCATCGAATTATTTGGGATTAATTTTATTATTAAAACATTATTAAAGGAAAAGAAGCTAAACAGTGATAAAATGAAGATTATCGGAAGTAGATATGATAGTCATCTTCTGATACTTTACTAATCAAACCCCTTAACATAATCGGACACCGAGCGAGCGGCTCGTCCGCCTACTTCAGTTAAAACTGCAAGTTAACTGGCAACAGAACAACTAAAACAAGAAAGTTTTTATATACAATAATGTTTTATCTTGTAGTGCAGCTTGATCTAATATGTCCTATCTGATGGCAGTTGCTGCAGCGTGAATGGTGCTCGCTTTCGTGGTCTCTCACCACCTTCATCCACCACCCCGGCAAGTAAATCAGCAGCTTCCTGACTGCGTTGCTGACCCTCAGCGCCAGTCAAAATACTACCAGCAGCTATAAAGGTCCTAGTAGTATCCCGCTTGTGCTTCTGGGTTTTATTAGCAGCACGTAGCTGCTTAACCTCATGCTCTGAGAGCAGCGCATTCTGCATTGCCATTTGAGCACCCTTGGCCACTTGCTCAACTGCCTGATTGATAGGACTCGGTGGGCTGTGTGTACGCTGCCTCCAGAGGCGCTTGATAAGCTCAGATTGCTTCTGAAGTTGCCTGGTAGTTTTGGGAGTCTGCTGTCCAACTAGATGACTCTGCTATGTGGACTGCCCAGTGGTGTAGAGGTCTTCACCTGGATATGGAGCTCATAAAGTACATTCTCGGGTTTATATGGGACTAGACCTGCAGCAGCAAATCCACTGCATATATTTGATAATGAGAATTAGTGTCATCCCAACCCGCAATTCCCGTTTACTCCCCTAGGGAAGGGTCGGGTTGGGAAATGTGGGAAATGGGAGTGGTTCATATTCCCGAATTTCCCATTACATACTATTACAATACTTAATC